GCGAGCGCCGGCGTGGGGTTCGTTTTGGCCGGCCGCCGGTACGGAGCCGGCGGCGAAGAATAGAGAGACAGAGAGGGAGGCAGAGAGAGGGGGCCGGGGGGGGGGGAGAGAGATAGAGAGTGTGGAGCGAGAGAGAGAGATAGGCTTCTCTTTCGCGGGGGAAGGGGGGGGGGGGACCTGCGTGCTGCTCTGGTAATTGAAGATGGTGCTGAACCAGCCTGCTGTTGACTCAGCCTTGTCCTCGCGTCTGTTGGTTGTAGGGCATTCGACGGGTACAAAACGTCACCAGATGGGGGGTGGTATCTTCCGTCGCCTTTTTATTTATTTTTTGCTGTATATTTGAGACAACTAGTCTTTGCCGTCTGTGCGAGGGTAAACGCGTCCGCCGTCAGAGGGCATGAAAACGGCTACGAGTGTGTCTGTTTGGTTTTGGATGTGATGAAGGAGTGGCGTTGCGAGGCGAGAGGAACGGAACCGACGGCGACGATAGACAAAACTAGTTTGCCTTTCGTCTCATTTTTTTATGTGTGTGTGTATATTAATGCTGCTTGTCTTTTTGATTTGGCTAATTCTAGGAGTATGGCCGGCCTTTGTCCGCCGGCTATCCTTCCTACGCTGACGGTTGTGAAAAAAATCGTCATCGAGTTGCCGCCGCCTTTGCTGACCTCTCACTTAAGGGGGCCCGGGGCTTGCTCGTGCTCGCCGATATCGGAGTCATTGTTGTGCGTTTGGTGCTTTCCCTCGGATATCTAAGGCCTGCCTGTATTGTCTGTTGAAATTGAAAAGTGTGACGAAAGTAATGGATTTTTTTGTAGCTTTCGCCGCCGGTTTGGAGGCGTCTTCGAGCTCTCTCCTTTGCTGTCGTCGTTCGTACCCTTACCACACCTTTGTGTTTGTAGACACATTTGTCATACTAGACACACTTGTCTTATAGACACAGTTGTCTTATAGACACAGTTGTCTTATAGGCAAACTTGTCTTATAGACAAACTTGTCTTACCAGACAAACTCGTCTTGATAGACACATTTGCCTTGTAGACACAGTTGTCTTACTAGACACAGTTGTCTTATAGACACAATTGTCTTAAAGGCAAACTTGTCTTATAGACAAACTTGTCTTACTAGACAAACTCGTCTTGATAGACACGCTTGTCTTGATAGACACGCTTGTCTTTGATAGACACTTCTCGTACAGCCTGATCGTTGCCACGGACGTTCGTGTATGTTTTTTTACCCCAAAGGATTCGTACGGGAACAGAGGGTGCTGGATGAGGAGATTACTTTGGTTTTCTAACTTGAAGACGACGACGGGCTGTTGTCGCCACTGCTTTTGGCTGGAGAGGTGTTATTGCTTGGGCTGTTCGGTTCTTCAATACCCTCACAGACGCGCGTTTGTTATTCTTTTTTCTTTCTGCCCTTTTGTCGGCGCAGGTACGTATGTACACGTTTGAGCATGATGCCCATTTTGTCGATCGATGCAGGGAAATTTTACGTTTGACTGGGAGCCGATTTTCGAACACGCGGGCGTGGGGGAGGGGCAGTTCCGAGTGCTGTGAGTTTGCAATCGAATGTTAATGTTGTGATACTGTTATTAAGTCTTTGTGTTATGCGTGCTCAATTTGTTGTAGGTGTTATTAGTTACATAATCGAGTAGGCAAGTAGGATGCTTGTTCTGACACCGGAGTGGGGAGTTAACGATGACGCAGTTTCTCACCCCTGCTGGCTGAGAGACGAGCGGTCGGTGCAGAAATACGCGTGCGCGTGCTGTCGTTCCCAACTACGCAGGCTGGGGGCCACGCGCGTTTAGTCGAGAAGATCCAATCCCTTGGTCCTATCTTGGCGCCCAATGGAGCCCCCGAAAGTTTGTCTAGGAAATAGAGTTGAGGGCCCGAACTTCATCCCCTCCCCCCGGGCCGAGGCCGTCGACCTTTAACCAGGGGGGGGGGGGGAGGGGGCTCCGCATACAACGCAAAGGATGCTGGCCGAGAGGTGTGCTCTGAGGGCCGTGCTCCACCTTAGGGCTGAACCGATTCAGCTCGCGTTTGTGGATTGACTGCTATACTCACATACGCCACACAACGGAAGGGGGCTGGCTCTGTCACGTGATACGACCGATGGGTACGCGCAGAGCCGCTCAATCTTGTACCCCTCCACCCCCCTCCCTCCCTAGCCTGGGAACATATTCGGTCATCAGTTTCCCCTTCGCGTTCACTTTGCCCCCACCCCATGCATGTCTCTCTCGCTGCCGATCGCCACCGCATCTGGTGCAAGGCTTCGACTTTCGCCTCGTCCTGCCACCCCACTCGATTCCCAACTGTTAGGCCCCAATCAAAATTAAAAGGCCACACCCGCGGTTGGTACTGTAGTGGTTCCGGGATGCGGGTGTCGAACCAAATCGACGGCGGCGGCCAGAAGCGCCAGAGAGAGGTGGGCGCCTCTCGGACTTTTCGTTTCGTTGGGCCACGTTAAAACTTCAAAACAGGCAAGCAATCAATTCATGGGACAGACAGACATTCAGTTCACCACGCCAGGACACCATCTTTTCAATATTTGTACGAATGGGTCTAGTCCACACCACGACGCCGACTAACCAAAACACGCCACCCTTTCTTCCCTATAAACCCGGCCATGGGCACAGCAGCCCAATCCGTTGCCTGTGCCGGAAGTGCTACAGAACGCACGGATATCACAGGGTAAACAGCTGTTCATTCAACGAGCTTCTCCCGCCGCCCCCTCCCCTCTCTCTGAAGATGCGTTTGTTTCTCTAATATAAAAGTAAACGGCCTACGAACCACACTCACGCAACGAAATTTGTCAACACAGTCTACCTTTGATGCAGCAGCTAGCCTGGAGACACATCCAACACCACACCCCAAGGAAGTCCGCCGCCAACGGCAGTACCGTACCACTGTAGTAGTGCTAGCCGGGGGGGGGGGAGAGCAAACACACACGCCCTCTCTCCGCCCTTGCCTAAGATGACCAACAGCAGTCACACGTACAGCGGAGCGGCCGGCACGGATGCCGAGCTTCGTCCGGAACACGGCCGGGATACAGACAGCGTCTGCGCTTAAGAACTTCGCTATGGGCCCCGAAAACCTGAAAATCTAACAACTTTAGGACCATTTGTGAGCCCGGTTGAGCACCCCTACACTAAAAGCCTATATGCATAGCGGCCATGGTGTCGCATAACCTTAAGAACCTCAGCCTCGGCAAAACTAGAGGTTAAGAAGTGCGGGGGATAGGTCTAGGTGATCTCCGGAGATGGACTCTCGAGATGAGAGTGCAGGCCCCGTCTCCAAAAAAATGCAACACTCCAATCGCCTGTAATAATGCCGTCCTCCAAGCGGTATTTTGCTAAATACGCAAAAGGCAGGAGGAGGCGTCACGATGGCATGGAAGCACTAGCAGCAAACGACCACAGCCAACGACGACTGACTGACTTGACTAACCAAGCTAACACGAAGACAACAAACGAACCGGAAACAAGATACAAAAGACGGTGGAAAATACATGCTGTCTCTCCTCACACTCTAGAGGGCTATCTGTTGTCCGGACAGTCTAGAGAGATAGGCTGCCGTCCAAACAGTCTCTCCTGACAGACTAGACAGAGATCCTGAACGCCCCGATCACCCCAAGAAACCGGCGACGGCCGCGGATCGAACCTCGTCGGCGTCGGGGTTGCTGCTGCATATCGCCTCTCCCGGCTGCGCCGCCGCCCCTATCCATTCCCGGTGAAGCGGCCCCTGTCCTCGTCGCTTTAGCTGGCGGTAGAAGTGGTACTGCGGATCCAAGGGCGGTAAACGTTTTCTTCCGGGTTGGCATGTACCGTGGACGTACTACGTAGCCTCTCCGGGATAACGATCACCCAATACTGGGGCACCTACCTCGTGCCCCCCTCTTTATGGTTGCTCTCATCTCTGATTGCAAGACGCATGTGTTGCCCCGAACATGAAAATCTGCACGGAGAGTGCCTTGAAACTCGTGTAACGGCAGCAGGTAGGAGCGGGAAGGGCCCGTACTCGAAACGTACTGGTGGGAAACGATACCAATGTTGAACAAAGTTCGAGCAAGATACTCTACTTGCCGAAGTTGATTCGATTTTTACAGGCGGGTATGTATGTATGGAGAAGAATCCAACTAACGCGTTCGAGGGGGTATAGCTTTGCGCTAGGCAAGTGTAAAAAAAACACCCGCAGGGTAACTACTGGAACCTTCCACAGAACAACCATAGAGCGTTTCGAGGACTTGACCAGAAACACAAGACGGGCAGACAACAAGAGTTGGGTGCACACCGACCACCCGGCTGGGGGGCGGGGGCGGGGGCGGGGTGGGGGGGGGGCGTGCCAATGAAGCGAGAAGGCAAAATGCAGCAGCAGCAGCAGCAGCAGCAGTCACGGATCCCCTCTGGACGAAACGGCGCCCATAAGGGTACGCATACACACACACACACACAACTCTTGAGACTGACGTCTTTTTCATTGGTCAGCCGGTTAGCACGGTTGACGCCAACAGTAAAAAAAAAAAAAAAAATAGCCGTGCGTTTCCCGCGCACGTGGCGCACCCACCTGCCGCAACAGGTCCGTCCTCGTAATGATCCCTCGCAATCGTCCCGACGCGTCCACCACAATCGCCCGCCCCGCACGAGTGCTCTCTGCCATCCTCTTCCTGATCTTGTGCATGGGAGCGGACGGGCAGACTCGCGTAACCTATGGGCAGGGGTGGCGGCGGAGGCGGTGGCAGCAGCGTCAACCGTGTCACGCACATATCGTAGCGACAAGAAAGGCAAACGCACCCCATGCTGACCAATGCAGGCAAGTGCGCGGGACACGTACAATCATCCGACCAGGATTTTCCGTATCGCACTAAATACCTCTCCACGAGCCATGCACCCTTATCCCAAAGCGAAGACTGGCCCCCAACCCAGAAATATCAATCATCACGAGCGTGCGCGTTCAACCCTACTGTATCCCGAAAGCGAGCGGGGGTTCTTTTCTCACCTTGGTCAGCATGAAGCCCGTCACCGGTCTATTCGCAGCGCCCTGCTCGTCTTTCTGCCAGTTCGTTGATATCGCCGCCGTTTGGTCGATCGAGTTTGTCGCACACAAGCAGAAGACGCATCCAGTCGTGCGTGCCCATGGCCCGCGGACATGTCAAGCAAGAGAGAGAGGTGCGCCGTGAGTGACGAAGAGGGGGCAGGGGTACAGCACAACGGCAAGAAACATTGTGCCGACAAAACAAAAACACGTGTCCTCCAGAAGTTTAACTTTGCCCAAACCAGTTTCGAGCTTTCAACCCTGCAACGTATTTATCACCCTCAGCAATTAGCTTTCGAAATGTCACCCGGAACGAAAGCCTTCGAGACTTCACCCTCAACTTTTGGGACACTTTCCATCGATACCTTAACCCTCTCCCCCACGAAATAAGCAAAAAAACAATTCCGTTTTATATCATACCTCGTCGCGAAGAAACAACACGCCTCTTCTTTTGTGTCTCACCCTGAACGCCTTCGAAATTTCCGCGCACGTTATGAGCCCCAGAAGCTTGTCGGCTTCCTCCCCCTGTTGCCCCAACACCGGCAAGGCGTAGAGGCCATGTCTTCGGAGAATCTCTTCGGCCTAAGGTTGGCGGGGGGGGGGGGGGGGGG